ATTGCCTCCGCAACGTGCCCTCGCTCCCCCAGGGCGATTCGTCACGGCGCCTACCAAACGGGTCGAAAGGCTTTCCCCACAAGTTGCTTGTGTTGTCTACCTCGACGATCGCGCGCTCCTGGCCCCCGATCTCCAAAACGCTTCGTGACGTTTATCAAGAATGGGAAATTCTCAGTACTGTTACTAGACTCAGGACAAGCCCTTCCAAAACCCAGTGCTGGGCAAGATCCTCGAGTGCGGCTCGTTGGCTGCAAGAACATGATCCTGGTTTCCCCGTGGTCTCTGCGGCTGAAATCTTAGGCTACGTGGTTGGGTTAAACCCTGAAGACCACCCCAAAATTGCTGTGCGCCGGGCTAAGAATGCGAAGATTGCTGCGCGCCTTGCTTTACTCCCGGCAGGAAAGAAAGATTGCCACAGCCCTCCTCCCCAGCTCCGCCGCTTGGGGCCAGAGCCTTGATCCTAGGTTTTTATCAGAAGCTGCTAAGGCGCACCTCGCCAACTGGCGGCTCAGTCACCATTTCCAGATCCCTCCCATGTTCCCCGTCAGAGAGAGCCAGCCCGCTCCTCAAACATTTTTTTTGGGTCATTGCTCTGACCTTTGTCTCGTGGTGGTCACCCGTTTCACGATGGCTTTGTCCCGACGGTATAACTTTAGATCCCATTGCCAGGAAGCCCAACGACAGGCCCAGGTTCACTTGCAGCGGTCGGTCCAGCTGCTGAATGACAATTTGACGGAGTGGGGGTGGCAGACTGCTCCTGAAGGTCACACTTTCTCCATTTTCTCCCAGAAGGATGAGCGAGCTAAGGCCAAATATCACTTGCGTCAAAGCTGGCGAAACACCCTGCTTCACAAGTGGCTTGCGCTCAACCGACGGGATGCTGACATCGGTCGTCAAATAAATTTAAGGGATCAGATTGATGACTCTCTTGTTGACCGACTTCGTAGCACCTTTAAAGCTTGCAATGATGTGCGTGCTCATGCAGTCATGATGGGCGGTATGCATACAGCTGCCAGCACGCGTTGGGCTGGCAACGATGAGGAAATCACAGAGGCCGGCGCGTTGGTTTGTCCTGATTGTGCTCAGGCTTTCCACCCCACCGTCGAACATGTCCTTTGGCATTTTCCTTCTTATGACAGTCTCCGCCGCTTGTCGGCTCCTGCTTGTCCTTTAGTGCGCCGTCTGGGGTGGGGCCCAAATGTCACTATTAAGGATTCCCTTGCACTTCTTGCCCAAATGGGCCAGACGCGCGCGGCTGAAGCAGCCAATCGGATGAGTCGGGCCCGTGCGCAAAATACGATCCGATCGCTGCGAGGAGGCGGTCTTGTCCACCCTTGGCCTGCTGAGGTCTCTTGTGTGACTAAGGTTGCAGTATCTAAGGCGGAAGCAGATGGCTCTTGCAGTGGCACTTGCTCTGGTGCAGCTGTTCCTGCGCGGGCGGCTGCGGCAGTGGCGGCTGGCGATGGCAGCTTGTGGCATTTGAGTGACTTCGCCTTTGGTCCAGAAAGGGCTGACACTTCTATCGGATGTCAAGAAAACAAAAGTGCCTTGGGGAGGCCTCGTCAGATTTGTGAGAAATGGGGCACTTCAAAAGGCCTAAAAGAAAAGAGTGGACATCGTAGGTCTCACAGATTTTCCACGGTCTGAATTAGGTTTTTGTGCCTGGGAATTCGTTTCAAGTCGTTTTCATCTGGAGCCTTGATGCGCTCCCAAATTGTGTTTAGCTTTGACGCCTGTTGAGTTGCAGGTTTCGTGGCAGTGCAAAGTTTGTGGTTTTTCTGTTTATCTTTCTAATTTAGCCACCTATTTGGAGGCTCCCTCGGCCCCTGCGCGACCGTGCTGCTTCGCCATGGCTCGTGCAGATCTCTTTTTGCCCCTAACCCGGTGTTAGGTTGGGGCATCCAATGATCCAGTTCCGTTTGATCTGGCATCCAATGATGTGGTTTTCCCTGCGGTCCTCGCAGCTTCCGTACAGATCCACAAGATGCACCGTTTTCCTTTCGTGGATTTGGCAGTTCCGAATTTGTTTGGCCACCTATTTGGAGGCCCCCTCGTTTCGCCCTGGCTTCGTCGTTGCGCGCGTCGCCATGGCTTGGAAGGCTAGCTGAGCTTTCCTGCGGCCTCTACTCCAGAGATAGGGTGGGGCATGCCGTCCCTGCCTCAGGGCGACCCTTTTTCGCCTGTGACGCTGGCGCTGCTCTTAGCTGCTCCGGCCAAGCGTTGTGCTCGACTGTTTCCGCAAGTTGGCTGCGCCGTGTACTTGGACGACAGGACTTTGGTCGCTCCCTCCTTGGAGCAGTTGGTCGCGGCTAACAACGATTGGGCCCTGATTGAAAGCGTGACTCGCTTGAAAACCAACCACTTGAAAACTCAATGTTGGGGCCGGAACAACGAAGCCGGGGACGTTTTACAGAATAATGCTTGTCCTTTTCCTGTCGAGACTGCTGTTGAGGTTTTGGGATACGTTGTGGGTCACAGACCGCACGAACATCCCAAGTATCTGGCCCGAGAGGAGAAGGGCCGCTGTCTGGCTCTGAAAATTGCTCAGCTTCCCATTGCCTCTCATTTACGGGTACGATTGGCTCATAGTTTGCTCACTAGCACAGCTGCGTGGGGAAAGGACCTGCGGAATGTGGAGGCCTTTCATGCGGCACGGGCGCGTCATGTGCGCAATTTCCGGATTGCTGTGTATGGTGTGGACAATCGTGATGACTTGGGTGAGGAGACTCGGTGGCACGTGCAGGGTCGTTCTTCTCCTCATTTGAGGCAGCTGTTTCAACTGGGTCATGGCTCTGACTTGGCCTTTGTTGTCACTACTCGTTGGCTGAACGCGCTTGCAAGATGGCATCTCTTCTGGCGGCCCTCTGCGCTGCAAAGGCGAGATGTGGAACGCAACTTGGCGCCGGTGATGCGGCGTGTGAATAAGTGGCTTGCAAAGTGGGATTGGAACCCTTGTGTTTGGGGAACTTGGACTGCACCCCCTGATCACTTGTTCGCCATTCACATGAGTAAAGCTGAGAGGTCTAAGGCTATGCATCGCTTACGTCAGAGTTGGCGTAAGGAGTTGTTCGCTTCTTGGTTCCAGAGTCGGCGTCGCGACGCGGCGGTGGCCCGCGGTTGCAGTTTCGCTGAGCGCGTGACCGATGCTTGGATGGACAAAATCTCCCAGCTTCGAAAAAGGCTGACTGACCCCCACGAGTTGGCTGCCGCTACGGGGGGGATGCGTACTGCTGCTAGTACAAAGTGGGCATGAGGAAGAAGTCGCGGACGATGGAACTTTGATCTGCCCTGATTGTCAGGCCGAAACGAGTGTCCCACAGTTGAGCATGTCCTGTGGCATTGCCCTCGATATGCTTCCCTCCGAACCCTCCCCCCACCTCGTTGCGCCGTCGGTCGTCGACTGGGTTGGAGTTATACGCTCACGGTGCAAGAGTCACTAAGGTTTCTGGCCCAGATGGGGGCCATTCGAGTTGCGGAGATCCGTAATCGGATGTCCCGTGTGCGTTTGAGCCAAGGATTGGTATATCTGCGGGGAGGCGCGCGCAAGGCTTTCCCTGTGACACGCCGGCCGCAGTCCCTGCAGTGCTGCTGCCAGCGCTGGGACGCTCTCGCCAAGTTCGACGCGTCGCCTGCTGCGGCTTGGCCGAGTGAGGTGGCTGCTCTTTTGTATAGTTCCTGCAATGTCTGGTGTGAAGATGACCAGAACGTACAGATTGGATGTGGCTAGTGGGTTTTTTTCCACTGGCCTGACTGACTTTGAAGAGAATCCTAGAAGAGCCCGATGGATGGAAGTGCTTTCTGAACTTTGGTTGCTTTTCCTTTTTGAGAAGCCGGCGTGCAAGGCGGGCCAGAAACAGAGCACTCAAAATGACACCAAAGATGCAGGTGTTTGCCGGTCACTTGCTTTCTCAGATGTCTCACAGAGTCGAATTCGTTTTCGGCTTGTAGGCCAGAAAGATACTCTTACAAGAGCCCGGTGGATGGATGTGCCTCGCTACTTCTTGTTGTTGTCTCTTGTGGGGCCGGAGATTCGCGCGGGCCGTTACAAAGGCACTGAATAAAAATTGAAGAATGCAGGTCTTTCCCGGCAGCCTGCGCTTCTGGACGTCTCACCTGAAATTCGCTTTCTCATTCGTTTGTCTTGCTTGGTTTTCCCTGCGGTCCTCGCAGCTTCCGTACAGATCCACAAGATGCACCGTTTTCCTTTCATGGATTTGGCAATTCCGAATTTGTTTGGCCACCTATTTGGAGGCCCCCTCGTTTCGCCCTGGCTTCGTCGTTGCGCGCGACGCCATGGCTTGGAAGGCTAGCTGAGCCTTCCTGCGGCCTCTACTCCAGAGATAGGGTGGGGCATGCAGCTCTACAGTTCCGTTTGGACGTTTGGTGGTTCGGCCTGTTCTTGCTCCATGGCGGCAGGCATGGCAGCTGATTGGCCCGAGATGTGGTGGTGAAGGTTGACAGGTCCAGATTGAACAGACGCATCGACGTGTCGGCTTTGAAGAAACAAAACCAAAAAGCAACCCAGGAAAGTTTTATATAAACTCCTTCATTAAACTCATATCAAAAATTCAAAACGCCTCCAGATCGAAGGGTCTTCCTTTTCCCTACGAAAACCTACTAAAACAATAGGGGCCTTTTTTTATTAGGTACGTATGTATCTCATGACAAAAAGCGAGCGCGTCTACATGTTCTCACATTGCAGGATGAAATCACGTTCGACCATAGTGTTTGACCGCGGTGGCCCGATGTGGCCCAAGCGTGCAGGGGACATGCGCGTGGTGAAAAGGTCGAGCTGCCCAGGCTGCCCACGGGTTCAATCAAGCGCAGAGTAGCCATTCAAGCATTTGTAACTGTTTCTTCAAAGCCGACATGTCAATCTTACCTGCGCAGCCTTTGCTTGGGTGCAACTTCACCAAGCAAATAATTTGTTGTCATCTTGACCCTGAACCCCCATGACCTCATGACCTTTTGTGGGGAGTGCCGGATCTTGCGTTGCCGAGGCTGGTCCGCGGCTTGGGCTTCAGCTTAGCCATTGTTCTCGCGACTGAGTCCCCGCAATTGCGGCTTGGTATGGCTTGGCTATGGCTTTTCCACCTGTTTGACTCCAAATTTGCCAGGAAACCTATTCGGGAAGACAACTCGTTCCAAGGCAAGTGGCCATTGCGAGCATCCTCACCTCTATATATCTCTTCGTCTTGACTCTCACACGACCTTGGAAGGCCCCAATCATCAACGTTGGAGACATCGCCTTGTGCAACTGGGCATTTTTCTTTGGTGTTTTTCACCAACCGCCAAGCTCTAGGGGCCTTCAGCCATGGTATGCCGTAATATACTTCAGCAAATTCATGCCCAATTGTTCTTTTTTGTTTACATTTTTTTTTGTGTGTTTTTGGTGTGACCTGGGGGCAATCTCTAACGATCCTGTGTCCTGGGCAGGACCCGGTTCTGGGTAAAAAAAACAACGTTCTGGGTAAAACACCCAAACGTCAGTCCTGAAAAATTTTCCGTACATTCTTTTAACGAGAAGGGGTGCGACGAAAACCTTTTAATGAAGAAAGGGGATCCATTCAGTGTTGGATCAACCACTGCAAAGCGACTGTGACACTGTTTCGACCACATCGCGGCCGGGCGATTTCGCGTCTGGTGATTTTGTGTTTTTGCATAGACACGGAGCAACTGAGATTCAATCAATCACTCAACCTTTTCCCGAAGTTAAGGCAATGCACTCCTTTTGTTGATCAATCAAGCAGTGCATCCGAACAGCCCTGTGGACCTCCAGTTTGCCGACGATTTCTCCGCGGTGATCCTTGGAGTGGAGAGGTGGAGTTTTTCGAAGGGCCAAGGGAACAGGTCGGGGGAGAAATGGACATAAGATTCGGTCGTTCCCACATCGAACCCAAGTCCGAACAGTCCATCCGTCACAGTGCGTACGTCGCTGCGTCTTCGCCCCTTGTTGGCCATGCTACACGTTACTTGTAGTAGCTAGCATCTACTGTAGCAGGCAGACGTGTGGGTTGATTCGAGACAAACTGCAACATGCAACAAACGCAGATTGTGAAAATTCCCAAGCATGACATTCTATGCAACAATGAAGTGATCAAATGGTTTTGCAAATGTTTTTTTTTTTTTTTCAGGAATGCAAGACACATGCTGGATATTTTTGGCGCGATGTGCTCTTGATCTGCCTTCTGGTCGTAATGGCTTTCGGCATTTGCTCTCATCACAGGTCGTTGCATTTTCCCAAAAGTGCCTGCCAAGGGCTCGCTTTAAAGAACAGCTACCACCTTCATCTTCCTTATCACCACCTTCGTCAACATCATGTGTTACGACTCTTTGTGTGTTCTCGCTTGTTCTCGCGCGACCCTCTGATCTTGAACCGGTGAAGCGAAACTGTTGTTCGGCGCTGAGGGCGCTGGGCATGACTCTGTAACCCGCATTTCCGGTGGTTTTAGCGTTTTTTCGCTGTCCCAAGGCATGTCAGATCGAACCGGAATTCTTACGCCAAGTGCGCAGTCCTGGAGGTGCCATGCCACGTCCTGGAGCCGTGCCGCGCCTATCTTCTGCGCAGTCTGTGCTATACAGTTTCTTCTGCGACCCGACGGGTCCAAAAACTCCTAGTGTCGTTGACGTGGGCCACACCGTCTAGTTTCTTCATCCATCTTCGTCATTTTCTCAATTGCTCACTCCAACTGACTCAAGTTATGACTCCCAGCACCAATATGACTCCCAGTTTCTGTCCATCAACTCCTCGTCCTTCCCATCTCCCCATCGCGTCTCTCGCGCTGTCGATCGACCTGAGTCGGCAGCGGAAGATTCCCAGGATCGTGGTGCTGATCATTGCAATCTTGAGTTTGATGGGAGCTCTATGCCTTATAGCGCTGATCTTTGGACGCCGCTTTGGCATAGGCGTGTGGGCTTTTTTTTGCCGATCTTCGGGTCATGTGGGAAGATTCGACTCCACCCCTTGCATCCCCACCTCGTGGGCCCTCACAGTTGTGTTTAGCAAGTTCAGGAAGATTGATTTCAGATGGGACGCTTCGCTGGCTGAGCAGTTGGAACAGTTTGTGGTGAACGGCCTTGGTTCTGACGGCATCGATTCTGACGATGTTTTTCAGGTTTCGGTGCGCCCAAATCGGTCCGGAGATCATCCGATGGCTCGAGATTCACTCGTTGTTTGGAGGAGAAAACTTGCTGAATCTCACGCGAGTTGGACATGTACATGGCAAGGTGGCCACAGCACTGAGCCTTGGGACTTGAAGTGGGGAGAACTGGAGAACTGTTCTGAAAACATGATTGATCATGATTGGCTTTCCCAGCTGAGCCGTGCTTCGTTTCACTTTGTATGAACCACAGCCATGCTTCTGGCATACAGCTTGGTCGAAAATTTGTTTCGTCCGGTTGGATGTCCCAGTTTCAGTTGGATCATGTTTGATCTCCACCAATGATGCATCTCAGGCATTCTCAGGCCATCACACCTGCATTAAGAGTCCACATCACTAAACGGATCTCCATCTGAACGAACATATCGAAATCTTCAGAGTGTGTTTGTGTGTTTGTCAAGTGTATATGCCAACCTTGCACTGCTGCATGGCATCATCAGTCGCTTCAATTCCATCGCTTTTTTTGTATGACCACCCGACCAAAGCCCAATGCCCGAGGAAAGAATGTGTCCAAGAGCTCATGAAAATCGAAGAGAATCAGCTTTCAGAGGATCTTGGTAAAATGAACATTTACAACTTGATGGCCTTGCAGGGGGGCCATCTCCGCAGTCTTCGTGGCACCTTGACGCGATTCAGAGAGGGCGCTGGCTTGGGCGGGGGAGAATGTAGAACAAATCCAGGTCTTCCTGTGAGGCGAAGATCACTGAATAAAAAAGACAATCTTTACCAGGGCTCCCCGAAACACGGGGTGTCTAACAATAGCCCCTTCTATAAGAGGAGAGTTACAAGGTGTCCATCAACCGCCCCTGGCTCCGAGCCAGAGGTGTCCCATAGAGGTTGAGAGGTGTCCATATTGGAAAATTTGCCTCCGAAGAGTGCCGAAATCGACCGAGGATGTCCTCGACAAGTCCTCGGGCCTTGCAACTCGTGTGGCGCATTCCGCGGCTTCGAGCCTTGGCAACATGAGGACAAAATACTACGGTGAGGCAGTCGTGTTTACTTCCAACAACCGGGGATTCGAAGCAAACTCAGTCTTCACTTCTCTTTCTCTTCACTCTTTCGTTTTGTTCGAAAAGGAACGGTCGACGGTGTCGTCCCACCAAAGGATCGAAGGGTCGATCGCACGCCAGCGGTGCGGTGGGGCCGTTGGATGGTTTTGCCTTGCGGAAGACTATATACACATCGTATTATAGACAGAACATATGCATATATCCATAGATGTATGCATTATGCATAATCACCACTCTTTCGTGAACAACCAAATAACACAGGGGTATCACCGCCTCAGCAGATGGCAAATCACCTGCAGCTGGGCAGCTAGAAACACAGAGTCTTCTTCCGCCAAACGAGCTGAGTTGCCCAAGTTCGAATTCCACAGATTGAGACACCTGTTCTTACCCAAAAAGGATGCAACCGTTCCGTTCGTTCAGTTCCTTCCTTCCTGGATTGTGCAGAACTTTTGTTGGGATGATAGGCCCCTCTCTGCGCCAACTTCCAACTCCCTTCCCATCCCTTGACGAAGAAATGACGCAGCACAGTCCCGGCGGATTCGATCTGTGCCGTGCCGCGTGAGGATTCGATCTGACGCCGACAAGACCGGGCATGTGGAGGTGACGCGGAGGGACGAAGCCGCTCGGGTTGGTGCCGAGGAACCGGATCGCCCCGATTTGGGTCCCCAAGTCTGAACCACTCGGGGCAGTCCGAGCCAGTGCTAGTGCAACACGTCCGGGTATGTCACGGTATCCAGCAACCAGTAACCTTCATGTTGGACGTTCGAGCGTCGGCGTCCTCTTGACGCCTTGTCTCCACGTTTCCACAAAAGAGCCTTTCCCAGTCCATCAACTTCCATTTGATGTGCTTGTTGTGTAGCAGTTATTGGAAGTTCAGGGAGGTGAACATGGCTTTCATATTGAAATTGTTCCTTTGTCAACCCTTCAAATTCGCGGCCAAAGAGAGCAAACCCGGAGTAAGAAGCTTCAGAATCCCTTTCATCACCTGCCCGCAGACACGCAGTGGTTGATACCCTGCATGCTGCTGCACATCTTTTCAGATAATCCGCCAAGACTTGTCAATTACCCGAGCCCCATGATTCTATTTCTGTTTCCGGAGATATGTTAGCGAAAGACAACTTTTGATTGAAACCAGGCAATCGCTGCTCCGAATGCCAACCAAGGGAAATAGGAAGTCCTTTGGCATTGCCTTTTCTGCTCCATTGACCGTGCTCGAAGCAACCAGACCCGTCGATTTGACTACTCACGGGGTTGTGCCGAGTATTTCCACCGGACGACATTTGATCTTGGATGAACAATGCTTCCCGAAACGCCACAAACTTCAGCAACCGCACCGCTTCAGACCGCTTCAAGCGAACTTTGGGGGTGTTTGTTGGAGGGTCGAACATGGAATCAGCCCAAACATGTTTACGTGGTCGATGGATGACCCAATCCAGCCTAGCTAACATCAGGGATCTCCAAGCCATCCTTGGGAGGTGCCCGTGGTCAATGCAGCAGCCACACCTCCTACGAGCGATTCAGCAGACACGACCCAGGCCGTTTTCGGACGAGCCCCGTGTTGAGCCGGTCAGGGGTGAAACACTCCAGCTCGACTTCGGGGCGATTCGACGCATTTGAAAGAGGTCGCCCTGGATGAACTCCACGAGTTCTTCATTCAGTGTGGCAGGAGTTCCTGTGCATTCCATCAAGCGCGCTGGAACTGCTGTCGTTCTCCAGGAAACACTTGCCCAACGACGAACATGGTGTGGGAGAAGTCGCATGAGTAGGTGCTCGCCGTTTAGGAGCCCTGAGAGTACCCCAACGGTGTGGTTTCCTGTCGCAGTGCTGCCTTTCTTCACCGTATAATCTACGCAGCTTCACTTAAGAGCCATACAGAGCTAAACAAAGCAAACAAAGTTGGACCAACTCCAAGCAAACCACTTCCAAGTTGGTTCAAAGTTCCGTTGTTGTCCTCTCCATGCTTCCAATGAGACGAAAGAAAGACATCTTAAGCTAAACAGCTGAAGGACACACAGAGTTTTAGGTCTCATAGGTGGTTCTAGGTCTCATTATATATAATCGTGTCTTTTTAAAGGTCTATAGGTTTTCTTTCAACGAGACTGTAGTTCTTAAAAGGACTTAGCAGCTTAGCAGTTGACGACTAGATCAATTCTTAGGAGAATGCCACATCGTTCTGAACTTTTTTGATGCATTTTTCATCAAATTTCGACATCCTTCCACATCGTTCTCCGGACATTCCCGAAAGACGTCGCTTCGCCGGGCCAACGGTGTCCAACTTGGGACCCAACGGCGATCTGCTCCGCGCTCAGATGAACGACGCCACGGATGCCTCCGCTCCGGTGCCCTCGGATCGTTCTCAGCTCGACGCCGTGGCCCAGGACGCAGGGTGATGGGCGGGTTTCAGGGCGTCGAGCGGTGACCGGGTGTTTGGGGTTGGTTTTGAGGTGGACCTCTGCCAGGATCGCAGGAAAGCAGATGGGGGGAGAAAAAAGGCGTCGGATCGTTGCACCGCTTGGCTTCGACGGACAGAGAGGCCCATTCCGGGCTCCTTCGGCCAGCGAAGCGTCTTCGCCTCTACCGTAACCGTGAGTGGAACAGCGCACAGCAGTCTCGACTCACCTTCCACACAGCATCCGACCCAGGCCAGCGTCCCACTCTTCGGGGCCCTGTTGGGCGGGCTCTTCGAATCGAAAGCTCGGTCGACCGGACGAATCGAAAGCTCGGGCCGTTCCGCTACAAGCCGCGCAGGAGCCCAAAGAGGGACCATTGCATCGCGTGGGCGACGAACTTGAGCCCATTGTGGCCACGGAGCTCTGAAAGAGGGTCCGAACTCATTTTCCTGGCCTTTGTAGGCTTTTGTTCATGCGTATCATGTGAGGTCCAACTCGCTGCTGGGGTGGTCCAACGTCGTTGGGCGTTTGGTGTTCGCCGCGTGATGAGTCTTCTCACGTCAACTTCAGCTGATTCGGCCACTCCTCAAAAGGGCCCAGGTCTTGGTCGTTCTTAAAGGACTGACACAATTGACCCAAGCCCGAATTCAAAGGTGAGTTGGACTCTACGTGCGAAAGAGAACCGGAGTGTCTATCACTGATCTGATCGATCAGGGTGGCACTTTGCAGAAACTGGGTGAAATGGAGAGGTGCAACCTCGAATGGTTGAAAAACCACTGTCTAAGGGATTAGACATGATTAGACTGTACCGGCTAGAACGGGCTAGGACCGCTTTTGTTGCCGGTCCATGTTGCGTCCTCCGATTTGGCCCAACCTGCTTTTCACCGGTGACGTGGTCCATCCACGGAGAAAAGGAGCGCCACGCCACTCGCTCCCCGGAGGGTGAACCGATCGGCCGGGAAACCGGAGGTGTTGGTGAGTCAAAACCCGGTAAAACCCTGGTTCTCCCCTGACCATGAAATACCAACCGATTCACAAAGGGATGTCAAGCAACTTGGTAGGGTTTAGGTGCTTTCGACCCAGACCCCATGTATTTCTTTCCGCTCTCCCTTCGCGGCCGACCGTCGGTCGGGGCTCGTCGGAGGCTCGACGTCGAAAAGACACGATCCACGAAGTCTGTGGGACTGATCCATGTTCCAATTGAGGAAAGGGAGGAACGATCTTTCAAAAGGTGAAGACTAGCTTCTTGTTACTAGTAAGGCACCTGTTACTAGTAGCGTGGCACTTGTTACATCTTGTTACTACTAGCTTCTTGTTACCCCGCGTAGGAAGTACGATCTTTCAAGAGGTGATCTTTCTTTTGGAGTCTGTGGGGGTGTTGGCCCAACTGCCGATCTGTGTAGCTTTGTAGGACGGGGCTTTTGTAGAGGGTCTTGGTTAAACAATCTTCCACAGGACGATTCAGGTCGGATGTCCAGGTCGGGGGTCCGAGTGACCACATGTGCCAGATCGCTTTGTTGGCTTCGCCACTGGTGGAGGCCACCGAGACCGTCCCGTGCCCTCGCCGCCTTCCCGCGCAGGACACACCGCCGCAAAGGCGAACGCGACGGGCGGACCCAAACGGTTCAGGTGGAAAAAGACGGCCGGTGATGTTCGGATGCGACGGCGTCGTCCTTGAGTCCCTTCACGCGAACGGGACATGGATGGGATGGTCAGCCGAAGAAATCCCCCCTGCGGTCGGCGGGCGAAGCGGCCCTTCTTGATCGGTATGTAGAAGCTCAAAAAGGACCGATCACCCCAAAGAAAGGATCAAGATTGATCAACATAGGAGGTCTCCATGAACCATAAAACTCTTGGAAACTTCTAAAGCCATGGGGGTGTGCTTTTAAGAGGAAAACCCAGTGCCCTGGGAGGTCTCTATATAAAGATATGATGACTCCAGGTGCTTAATTGCAACATTCATCTACGATCCGCGTTTTTGTTGGGCTCAAGATTCATCTCCACGTTGGGCTTGGAGCAGCTTGTGACGAGGTTCACTCTAGCAAAACGACTGCATGGATTGTAGAAGAACATCGTCTTCGACAGGGTATTCATGTCAGCTACCTAAACCGGCTCTTTTCTCAAAAATAAACAGAGAATCAGGTGGAGTGGTTGGTGAATTTGCACAGCTATGCCATGGAAAGAATGAATTCCTATAGAGTTCTTTTAGCCAAAGCTCTCCCACCCGAGATAAACCCATCCAAGCCATCCAAGCCGCCCTGAACGGGACACGCCCTCAGTGACAAGCCCGCCAAAAGGCCGAGGCCAAGAACAGCGGGGTTGGGGAACTAAAGAACAGCAACCACTCCCCCCACAAGACCAAGCCCGGATCAAAAAGACTCAAAAAGACCATAACACTTGTCAGAAATCAGGTGTTTCTTTGAGAGGCTCCACTGGTTTCATGTAGTTGCATGTAGCTCATTCTATGACTTGGATAGAAGGACAACGCCCAGTTTTCCAAGTCAAAAAACACATCAATTAGCACAGCCAACCCTCTTTTCTGCGCCCTGACCCTGGCCCTGCCATGACGCTCCTGGACATCTTCCAAGCAGGCGCTGTGCGAGCCAGCCACGGACGTCACCGAATGAAGAACGCTTTTGGTGTGTTTTTCCCCGAGCTATTGGCTGACTTCAAGTATAGGAAGAGGTGCCTGTAGAACTCCAAGTGTGTGCTTTGGAGCCTGGCCATTCTATTTTGAGAAGACATTGGTCACCGATGCGACCGGCCGAAGAGGACCGGCCCTGGGACCAGTCCCCACCCAGTTCGTGGCCTGGCCAAGTCCAAATGGATCGGATTTGGGCGAGTCCAGCGGCTAACACACGCGGCATGCAGTTGGGTACGATGCACCAGAAGCCTGGGCTCTGAGCCAACCACTGGGCTTAAGCCTTCTTAAGCCTTCTTAAGCCATTAATTAGGTATTTGATGTCTCACCCGACATGCGACCATTCGCCCATCTCCACAGCTTTTTCAAGCTCCCCTCCGAACGAGGTCCCGCCCTTGTGACCGGTCCATGGCTCCGGTCGGTCGGTCTCCGCTTCGATGGGGTGGAGAACATCCGGCAAGGCATCAATGAAATCTAGGGCAAACGGATGTCTCTGTTCTTTTTTTTTCCAAAGGCTGGGATTTCGGATTTCTGAAGGCATACACTTGTGCAAGCATCACTGTGCATGTCACTGCTTTTGACCCAGTCGCTTCAACCAAACCCGACCTGCATCGAAACCTGGGGAACAGCTGGTTCCGCAGCCCAGACTGGGACGTGTGATGCGGGCCCATTGTGCTTTCTTTTGGAGAAACGATCGCACCCATGTGCATCATGTCTCCGATCGTTTCGAAGAAGATCCCGGAAAGTGTGAGTCCATCTGTGGAGTCCATCTTGGGTCGTTTCTTGGAAGACCTAAAAATGGATGGGCCATGGCCGTGGCCGCCATGGCCCAAGGGTTTCAAGCTCCATCCCTTCGACCCTTCTGCCATCGTAGCTTGGCTCGTCCACGGTTATCTGTCCGGCGCTAGATCCGACTGGTGAATCCATTGCTGCATCATTTCATCAAATAAAACACAATAGCTTCTTGTTACTACTAGCAAGGCACTTGTTACTAGTAGCGATGCACTTGTTCCTAGTAGCTTCTTGTTTCTACTAGCTTCTTGTTCCTAGTAGCAAGGATGCTCCTAGTAGTAAGGCCAAGAGCCCCGTTCGGTTCGCGTCCGATGGCTCCGTTCGGTTCGCGATGCCAGGAGCCCCGTTCGTAACGCTTCTTTGAGCATCTTATGTTGGTGCATGCGATCTTTTGGCGCCCAGCGGATTGGCTTTCGCCACGGACCCGAACCCCAGTGGACCGGACGATCGTCAACCGGGTCCACTGGTCGTCCGGTCCAGGCCGAGCGCCTCATGGCTCCAGTGAGCTTTGTGTGCAGAACCTGCACGTGGCCCCCGTGGATCTCTCAGCGGATGTGGGGCTGGAGGTGTGGGGGAGGTGGGAGAGATGGGGAGAGATGGGAGCTGCGGGTGGCATCCTGGTTTTTGGGTGCAGGTGAGGATGTAACTGTGGGAACTCGATGTTTGGTGGGCGAAGCTCAATTCCACGGATGCGACCGAAACACCCCAGGAATTCCGCCAGTGTGACGGTGTTTCCATGATGGGCTGAAGGTGGGCTTGGGTCTTGAAAAAGGGACCAACACGCCACAAGAAAGCTCGTAAGTGTGCTTCCCAGAGGTGTGAACCTTGGACTTTGGATGATCCTCCACTTTTGGTAGATGAGGTATGATGGGGTAGATGTTACATAGGACCTGAGTGACCCCTCTTTTGGAGGATCAACTATTCCCAAACTATGGCCAAGCTTCCCATCAAAAAGGAGGTCATAGATGGCTTTTAGATGACTTCTAGATGCTTTTAGGTGTTTCTTGATGGGTATATAATTAGATCGGTTGAAACGAAACACCCCCCAAAAAGGAGAGTAGGTTGACCATGTGAGGTCCATTGACACCCCACCTTCTCCTCCTCCCCGCATCCGCCCGGATTTTCCCAGCGACGCCACCGAGCGCCACGGAGTTCGGGAGGGAACGGGGAGCTGGGGGCGACGAGGTCACGGTGATCTTGTGTGACAACTTTGGCTTGGGCCAGCAACTGGGCTGGAAGAACAATGCGGGCCGGCGGGGGGTGGCAGGTCCACTATTGTGGTAGTGTGGCAGGAAGAACATAGTGTGGTACTAGTGGTCGTGTGGTACTGTGCTTGTTGTTTGTCGCGAGAGAAGGAAGGTCTCGGTCTAGGAACAAACAACTTGTTCAACTGACTCCTTATACACTGAGTCAAATTCTTCGATTTTGTGTTTGGCAAGAGAGTTCAATCACTCGTAAAATGAGTCAAATTCTTCATGGATGGGCCTAATACCAGCACCCGACTTCACAGGTTATCACCTGCCACTTTTCAGCCACCATTTCGGAGACCTGGTAGATGAGTCGGGTGTTGGTAAAGGGGTTCTACGTCACAGAATTTGGTTCGACCACCGTTCATTTTGACCACCGTTCATTTGGTTGGTCAAGAAGCTTTGATCCTGCCCTGTAGATCGGGTGGTCACTCCCCAAGAAGACTGACAGAAAGGACAATACAGATCTTCCGGTGTTTGCTCATCCAACATTCTCCAGTTGCATGTTCAGCTCCGATGGCTGTGGCGAACCAAAACACGTCGCTGACCGTCACCAAGGCTGAGCTGGGCTCAGCTGGGTTGTGGCGAACAGCTTTGTGTGGCCATGGTGGAACTCGAGGAGAAAGCCCCAAAACGACCGTTGTGGTCCTGCCGGCACTGGTTTTGTTGCGTGCAAGCTGACTGGGCGCAGAAAAGGCCTAGAAGGGATGGAATGGAGGCATTGTTTAAAGGGCATTGCGGCGGCAGCTCGAGGTAACTGACACGTCTGACATTCTATCCACTTCAGTCCCTGAAAATGAGGATCCTTGATCGTTCAGGCCAAAAGCATCGCATCCACGTCCGATCTCTCTGCGAGGACTTCGACCATGCGGAAGCCTGCGCAGGTGGGCGGTCTTTCCTTACAAAAACACGCAAAACACTGCGGGGGGATTTGTCCTGTGAAACACCGCGGGGTGTCCCTTGTTGGGGCGGCGTTTTGGCGTTTCTTTCTGTGCGCTGATAGCTGGGCTCAAGCTGCCAAGCTGACGTGAAGACGACGGCCGTCGTCAGACAAATAATGGGTTGTTTCTTTCGATGTTGGCAGATGT